TGCTGATGGCGGCTGAGCCAGGAGAGGGACGTGGCCCTGAGGGTGCCCTCTCCACCTCCGGGCTGTGTGACTTTGGGCAAGCCTCTAGCCCTCTCTGAGCTCCTCTGTGAGCGGACCTGGCAACCCCAGCTCCGCCTCTCCTGGCCTGCCTGTGATTGGGTGAAGACGATGTCTGCGTACTAACAGGTCTGTATCTAAGGGGGTGCTTCCGGCGTTGATAGGAGCAGGACAAGGCCTTCCCTGATCCTGAAGGGCTGCTGGGGGGTGCGGGGGGTGGCGGCGCTGGCAGCAATGGCCTAGGAGACCCCCAGGGCTGGGCAGAGCGGGCCTCTCACCCCCACCCTACGCCCCCGCCCAGCCTGGGGCAGGCTCCCAGCACCACACAGCCCGGCTCCCCTGGGCACAGCGCGGGCCGGAGGCCGGGAAAGGTCTGGAGGTGTGAGGGGAGCAGCCCGGGCCCCGCGCACGGCCCGAGGCGCGGGGCGGGGCTCCGCCCTGCAGGCAGCTGCCCCCACGCGGGCCCGCCCCCGCCCTCGCTGCGGCTCAGCCCACGCGCGGGCCCGCGAACGTGGAGCGACACTGCCATCGCGTGGCGGCCGCTGGTACTGCGGGCCCGACCCGCGAGGCAAAGGAAAAGCAGGGACCTGGAGGTTGGGGGTCCGAGGGGCGGTCGGGGGCCAGGCACAGAGATCGCCTTGAAAGACCCCTTCACCCATTGCACCGCCAACACTCCCTGCACGCAGGCGGCGACCCCCGATGTGGACACACACACCCCGTCGGGTGGATGCGCCTTGCAGCAACGGGCAGCATTGGTTTCCCCTGCAAAGGCGCCTGTTTAGCTGAAGCGGAACTCTCGCCAGGGACCTGAATCCACTCAAATCCCCTTCCCACCGCCCGAGAGCGGTGCGGGCACCCCCCCTCGGTCACACGGCCCGCCTGAGACCCAGGCGGGGAAGCGCATGGGACCCCGGCCGTCTGACGTTGGGGCCTCTCAGCCTCTGGCAGCCCAAGGCGTGACCCCCACCCCCCGCCCAATCTCGCTGCAGGTCTGCCTTCCTTCCCCACAGCACCCCGCCCCCGCCCCAGACCCCGTGGGTGTGAGCAGCAGGCCTGAGCCTTGGGTCCGGGGTGAGTCCCCATCTGGGTGCCTTGGGCTTGGGCACGTGACCCGGTCCCAGCCAGTGGGGTGCAGAGGGGACCTGGCAAGGCGCCCCTGCCTGCCTCTGTGCCCCCTGTGACCCCGCACCCTGTGAGGAGGTGCCATGGGCCGGCGCTGGCAGCCTCGTTGGGCCCTGAGGCCCCCCAGCCCTGGGCCGCGGGGTGAGCCCCACAGGCCGGGCCTCCAGCCTGCCCGCCCCAGGGTCAGGCCCTGCTCCTCGGACACGTGAACCCACAGCGGCCTGAGGGGTGGAGACGGGCGGCGAACCAGGAAAACCTGACCGGACCCCCGCCCAGCGGCGGCGAAAACACAGAAAAACATGTTTCCTCTCCAGGCCGCCTCTCAGGCCACCGCGCCTGCGGGGGGCAGGGGGCGCCCCAGTTTGGTGACTGCCGAGGTGTAAGCCGCTCAGGGCACTGCCGTGACCTTGACCTTGGCAAGTTAGTTCATGGGTCTGAGGCGCCCCCGGAAGTGGACATCGCTGTTAATTGCATAAAAGAGGGGGCGTGGGGAAATGAATAAACCGGACACACATGGAAGTGGCTGCAGAACGGGCCGTGGAGGAGCCCTCGCCCACACGTGACTCCCCCCCCCCCCCGCCTCCCGCCCCCAGGGCCACCCGGCCCCTGAGGAGCCCGGTCCACCTGCTGTGGTGGGAGGGGGGCTGCCGCTGAGGGCGAGGCAGAGCAGCCAGGAGAGCCTCCCGGGGAGGCTGTTACATAAGAGGCTGCCTGACAGGGAGACGAGCCTGTTTGGTTTTTTTCCTGCAGAGAGAGACGGGGGGGGGGGGGGAGAGAGAGAGAGAGAGAGAGAGAGAGAGAGAGAGAGAGAGAGAGAGGGGGAGAGGGAGAGTGAGTGAGAGAGAGAGAGAGAGAGAGACAGGGGGAGAGGGAGAGTGAGTGAGAGAGAGAGAGACAGGGGGAGAGGGAGAGTGAGAGAGAGTGAGAGAGAGAGACAGGGGGAGAGGGAGAGTGAGAGAGAGAGACAGGGGGAGAGGGAGAGTAAGTGAGAGAGAGAGAGACAGGGGGAGAGGGAGAGGGAGAGAGAGAGAGTGAGAGAGAGACAGGGGGAGAGGGAGAGTGAAAGAGAGACAGACAGAGACAGAGACAGGTGCAGAAAGAGACAGAGACAGAAGCAGAATGGGATCGAACCACTTGCCATCTACCCATTTACAGATGTGAACACTGAGTCTCTAAAGACCCGACGGGCCCCAGGCTGGGGGCCAGGCTCCTGAGCACAGCCATGTCCCTCCCCTACACCTGTCAGGGGGCCCTGGTCTCCTTTCGGGGATCGCAATGAGGAGCTCTGGGGGCTGTTTGAGGTCCTGGATCCAGCCGTGCCTGAAACCCACCCTTGGGCTTCCCAGTCGCATTCATAAAAGCTCTCACATGCTGGGCTTCTGTTCTTTAAATATATTTAATTTCAGAGAGGGAGAGGGGGAGAAACATCAGTGATGAGAATCATGGGTCGGCTGCCTCCTGCACGCCCCCCACTGGGGTTGGAGCCCGCAGCCCGGGCCTGTGCCCTGACCGGGAACCGAACCTGGTACCTGTTACTCCCCAGGCCGTCGCCCTATCCACTGAGCCGAACCGGCAAGGGCACTGGATATTTTTTTTTTTTTTTCTGCTCACGTTCAAGCATCCACAGCGGGTTCAAGGCGCAGAGCCCTCCTGCCCCCAGGGGCGCCCTCACAGCCGGACATGGCTGAGGGGCTGCGGGGCCGGCCAGGGTGGGGCCCCGCCTTCCCCCTCCGGGGCCCTGGCTCCCGGCCTAGAGCTGACCTGGGCTCCAGAGATGGGCCATCGGAGACGCACCGCCACCCAGGGAGGCTCCCGCGGCCGGGGCGGCGGCTGTGCGCCTGGGGGCGGAGGGGGAGGCGGGACGGACGGGGCAGGGCAGGACCGGACAGGTGCCCGGCCGCCCAGCCTCCCCGCTGGGAACGTGCAGCCTGGCGGCGGGCGGAGGCCTGGCCTCCGATTCCATCTGCAGGGCCAGCCGTGCGGACACGCTAATAGAATTGTCACATCTGCCGCGCGGACATGAGCCATTTCGTGCTGCCCGCCCGGGCGAGCCCGGGGGAGGGGAGGGGAGGGTCCCAGAAGCCCGGCCTCCTGAGAAACGTGGGTTCCCGCCCGGGCCGCGCAGGCCGCCTTCTGACCTGAGGGTGTCAGCGCCCCTGCCAGGCTGGACCGGGGGCGCCAGGCGGGGCTCCCGACCTTCCCGGACCCGGACACACACACACACACACACACACACACACACACACACGGTCCCCAATCTGAGCCGCAGCCGGCGGGGCCGGGGCGTGGGAAGGTGCGGGCAGCTGACCGCACTGCGGCCCGATGTCCCTCCGTCGGACACGGGAGAGCTGCCCAGCCCTGGCCGCGGGGGCTCAGCTGGCTGGGGCCCCCCTGCAGGACAAGGTCATTGGATGGATCCGGGTCAGGGCACAAGCCCCGGATGTGGGCTCCACCCCCAGCAGGGGGCGTGCGGGGGCAGCTGGCGGATGTTTCTCTCTCCTCTTCTCTAAAATCACTTTTTTTTTTTTTTTGCAGAAACCGGTTTGGCTCAGTGGATAGAGCCTCGGCCTGCGGACCAAAAGGTCCCAGGTTCGTACACTGGTTGCGGGCACATCCCCGGTGGGGGGTGTGCAGGAGGCGGCTGGTCGATGCATCTCTCTCATCGATGTTTCTAGCTCTCTGTCTCCCTTCCTCTCTGTGAAAAATCAATAAAATATATATTTTTTAAATAAAATCATTTTTTTAAATAAAATCATTTTTTTAAATAAAATAAAGCACGTCGAGGCCTTGGGACGGTGTCGGGGTGCGGGCGGTCAGACCGGCGATCTCCAGGGCGGCGGTGCAGCCCCCAATTGGATCCAAACCGGAGGGCCTGGGAGCCGAGCAGGACCCGGAGCGGCGGAGACCTCGGTTCCCGTGTCTCCATGGCCCCGCGTTCCAGGCGGAAAGCTGAGGCCCGAGGGGCCCGGGCCGTGGGCCCACGAAGGGCCGGGGCCCCCCGACACGGCGGCTCCTGCCGGCGGAGCGGAAAGCAGCGGGCACGGCCGGTGGCGCACACGCGTGTTTATTGCACGGCCTCCCGGGCGCCGCCCGCAGGGTGCCGTCCCGCAGGGTGACCAGAAGGAGGGATCGCTCCGGAAGGAGCGCAAAGTGCCAGCGGGAGAGCGCGCCGCACCCGGGGCGCGGCAGGTCAGCGTCTCCCTCCGCCCGGGCCGCCCGCACAGGGACAGCCCGTCTCCGAAGGCCCGGCACCCACAGGTCCCCTGAGCTGGACCGCTCAGTCCCTGAGATAATGCCCGGATGGAGGCCCCATGGAGGCCCGGGGGCCACGCCCACTGGGAGGGCGGGACCCGCCCCGCACCGAGGCGCAGGCACCCGCGGACAGACCGGCGGATAGACCGGCGGAGGCCCAGGCCAAGCAAAGGAGGCGCAGGCCGACCCCGAACAGCGCTGAGCGGCCCGGGGAGGCTGAGGCCGCACGGACACTCCCTCCACACACTGCGGTGCGGGGCCCAGCTCCGGGCCAGGTCCGCGAGCAGAGCCCGGGGGAGGGCAGAGCCCCGGGGGGAGGGCAGAGCCCGGGGGGAGGGCAGAGTCCCCGGTGGGGGGCAGACCCCCGGGTGCAGAGTCCCCGGGGGGAGGGCAGAGCCCGGGGGGAGGGCAGAGCCCCGGGGGAGGGCAGACCCCCGGGGGGAGGGCAGACCCCCGGGGGTAGGGCAGAGTCCCCGGTGGGGGGCAGACCCCCGGGTGCAGAGTCCCCGGGGGGAGGGCAGAGCCCCGCGGCCCGCGGCCCCGGGAGCGGGCCGGGCGGGGCCGGGGGGCGGGGCCGGGGCCGGGGGGCGGGGCCGGGGCCGGGCCGGGCCGGGGCGCACGGCGGCGGAGGCTCAGAAGCCCTGCAGCTCGGGCACGTGGCGGTACAGCTCCAGGGCCTCGGGGTTGGAGAAGGCGCCGCGGGGGTCCACGGCCTGGCCCGCAATCACCTGCTTCACCGCCACCTCCACCTTCTTGCCGTTGAGCGTGTACTGCGGGGGGAGCGGGCGGTGAGCCCCGGAGGAGCCCTCGCCGCCCCGCACCCGCCCAGCCCGCCCCGCGGCCTAAGGCGCTGGGTCCCGGGCCCTCCGCCCGGCGGCTTCCCTGGCCGGGAGCCTTGATCCATCGCCCCGGGGCGCTCCGGCCGCAAAGGGGGAGCTGCTGCTTCCAGCCAGAGGGCTGGCCCGCCGGCACCCAGAGCCAGAGCAAGGGGAGAACTTCCAGGCTGGGGCACACCCCGGCACCCCAAAACGGAAATGTGTGGGCGCCGCTTAAACAGGGGCGAACCCACAGGGAACGGGGGGGGGCGGCGCGGGGCGGGGCGGGGCGGGGCGGGGGAGGCAGTTCTGGGAGACACTGCACGCAGCAGCCGGGGAGTGTACCCTAACCCTAACCCCTAACCCCTAACCTCTAACTCCTAACCCCCAACCCCTAACCCCTAACACCCAACCCCTAACCCCTAACCCCCAACCCCTAACCCCTAACTCCCTAAAACCCTAACCCCCAACCCCTAACCCCTAACTCCTAACCCCTAACCCCTAACCCCCAACCCCTAACCTCTAACTCCCTAAAACCCTAGCCCTAGCCCTAGCCCAAACCCCCCATCCTGGAAACATTGTAGCAAAGACGTTGCCGGGGCAGCTCCGAGCGCAGCGCCACCTGCCGGCCCGGGGAGCAGCTGCACAGGCACACACGTGCGCACACATGTGCCAGCACCACTCAGCTGACCCCTCACTCACACCGGGAGGGGTACACAGACAGCGCTCAGCCCCAAACAGACGCAGGTCGGTCCAGGGGCCAGAGTGGCCGCACCGGGGCCTGGGAAAGGGGCGTTAATCTCCCGTTAGGAACTCGCAGGGGGAGTCCGGGAAAAGCCCGGGGGTGGGGGGGAGCGGGGAGGGGGAGAGGGGTGGTGCAGGGCCGGGCCTGCCTGCCAGCAGCTCTGAGGGGGTATCTAGCAGGAGCTGCTTTCGGTGCAGCTTAGGAAGGGTTAAAAAGGTGGTGGCGGGGAAAGGCACTGGTTGCCAGGCAACAGGAGCAAACTCTATATAAAACCATGGGAGGTGCCAGTGCGCAGGCGGCAGCGGCCGGGGGAGGGGCAGGGGGAGGGGCATGGGGCAGAGAAGGGCAGGGCCAGGCCCGCGGGGGCACGCACCGGGATGCCCTTGGTCTCCAGGATGAGGCTGGGCACGTGCCGGGCGGACAGGCCGCTGCGGATGGCGTCGCGGATGCGCTGCACCAGCGCGGGCCGGAAGGCGTGGCCGGCCGCCATCCGCAGGAACAGCACCACGCGCTCCTCGCCGTCGCGGTTGTGCTGCGGGACGCACAGGCTGTCGCTCACCTCCTCGAAGGCTTCCACTGCGGAGGGGAGGGCGGCAGAGGGGGTCAGGCCGGCCCTGCGAGGCGCCCGGGGGCGCGGGGATGGGTGGACAAACACCCCACTGGGGAGGCAGCCCCCTGAGCTGGACGGTCTGCACGGAGGAGCGTGAGCGGCCCCTGCTTTCCAGATTACGGTAGATTGTTTTAAGGAGGCCGGTCCGGGCCAGAATCTCAGTGTTTCCTCGGGCCAGGCACTGGAGGGCCACGGGGTCGATTCACGGTCAAGGGCCAGCACCTGGGTTGCAGGTTCCATCTCTGCTCCAGTCGAGCGAGCAGGAGGCAACCAATCCCTGAGTCTCCCTCGCAGCAGTGTTTTCCTCTCTCCCCCCTCCCTCCACTCTCTCTAAAAGGTTAATGGAAATATCCTCGGGTGAGGATTAACCAAACACATATTTAGATGGACAGCCCGCCGGGGTGGCTCAGTGGGTGAGCGCTGACCTATGAACCAGGAGATGATTCCAGGTGGGGGCCCATGCGGGCTCCGGCCCCAGTGTGGGGGGCGCAGCTGTGAGGCCAGGGCCCCCGTATGGTGCTCTGTGACCCTCAGCACCCATGCAGCCTCTCTGTGCTCTGTGCCTCAGGCGCCAGGAGCAGGCAAGGCAACCCACCTCACCCCCTCCCCAGGCCCAGCAGACAGGGCAGCCCCAAGAGCCCCCTCCTGACCCCCCTCCTGACCCCCCTCCGGAGGCCGCCCGGGAAGGACACGCCCACCCAGGTCCGCTCACACCGGGAGGCGGGCCGAGGGGAGGCCTTGGACCCCCGCCCCCCCGGACGGAGCGCCCCCGGACGAAGCGCCTACCGATGTTGTAGATCTCGGAGCTGCCGAAGCGCACGCCGTTGGGGTTGAGCGTGCCGTCGCTGGGGAGAGACGGGGCGTGAACACGGAGCCGCTCAGAGCGGGGCGTGTCCCAGAGGCCCCCCCCCCACATGGAGCGAGGCTGGACCAGAGGGGGCCGCGTGGTGGGCACCCCCGCTCCACACAGTGTGTCCCCTCTCCTGATCCCGGCCATCCCTCCCCTCCCCTCTCTCTCTCTCTCTCTAAACTCAGAGCCAGACACCAAAGCAGCCGCCTCATGTGGGCACCATGTCCCCTCACTGCGCCCCCGACCCCGTGCAGGGCCCCTCCCGGCTGTGGTGGCCCCAGGACCGGGAGCCCTGAGCGGAGCGCTGTCCCTGTGCCAGGCACCGGCTGTGCCTCTGTGCGGCCTCTCCCTCCGCCCAGGAAGGGGAGCCGGGCGGCGGGAGCCGACAGGGGCAGGGCTCACCTCCGGCCCAGCATGACGATGCCCCCGGTCCTGGGGTTGATCTTGCAGTAGTCGCCGTGCGCCCAGACACCTGCGGGCAGAGGCGCTCGGTCACCCCAGAGCCTGGCCGGAAACCCTCATGGTATGGGGGGGGTGGGGGGGAGGAGAGAGCTGTGGGGGGAGGGGACGCCAGGACTGGAACCTGGGAACTTGGAGAAGTAGGCCTTCCGGTACTTGCTGCCCGTCTCGTCATTCCAGAAGTGCGTGGGCTGGCAGGGGAAGGGCCTGGTGCACACCAGCTCCCCGCTCTCGCCCCAGACGGCCCTGCCTGGGGAGGGGCGGGAGGGGCGGTCAGTATTCCGGACATGCTCGCGGGCACAGAGCCGCCCCGCCCCGCCCCGCCCGGGACCCACTGCGCCCGCCGTACCTGCCTCGTCCCAGGCCTGCACGGCCATGCCCAGGTTGCGGGCCTGGATCTCGCCCCGGTAGACGGGGAGGGAGACGTTCTGGCCCATGAAGCAGGAGATGATGTCGGTGCCGCCTGGACAGCGAGAGGCAGATCCCCATCCGGAGGATGGAGACAGGGGGCTCGTTTGTCACCTGTGAGCCTGGAGGGGGCAGACCCCACAGCGGACCCCGCTCCTCCCCATCAGCACTGGGACGGCCCGGCCCATGGGCGTGGCTCAGGGGCGGAGCATCGGCCTAGGAACCAGGAGGCCAGGGTTCGATTCTGGGTCAGGGCACAGGCCGGATTTTGGGCTCCATCCCCAGTGCGGGGCGTGCAGGTGGCAGTCAATCCATGATTCTCTCATCACAGATGTTTCTCTCTCTCTCTGCTTTCTTCCTGTCTCTGACATCAATACAGGTATATATGTTTTTTAAAACACGAAGTTCTAGGCAGACAGGCCGCTTTGCGGGAGGAATGGAGAGGAGACGCGGCTCAGGCTCTGGGTGACTCCCCGGGGCGTGGAGCTGAATGAGCCAGCTCCCGGCTCCCGCGGGGAGGGGAGACGCGGGCTCACAGGAGACCCGCCTGCAGGCGGGGCGGGGCGGGTGCCCCTCCTGGGATCAGCGGTGGAGTGCCGCCCGGCCGCACCTGAGATGGAGCCCAGCAGCACGTTGCTCTTGACGCTCGTGTACACGTACTCGTAGCTCTGCGCTTTGAGCGGGGAGCCCGTGGACAGGATCGTGTGCAGCGTCTGCAGGCTGTGCGTGTCCGCTGCGAGGAAGCAGAGGTGAGACCCCGCACCTGCGGCTGGCCTCCCCGGGGAGGGAGGGAGGAGGGAGGGGAGCGGAGGGAGGGGAGGAGGAAGGGGAGGGGAGGGGGCTGCCTCCTGGGGGAGGGGGAGTGGGGGGAGGAGGGGAGGGAGGGGGCTGCCCCCTGGGGGAGGGGGAGTGGGGGAGGAGGGGAGGGAGGGGGCTGCCCCCTGGGGGAGGGGGAGGAGGGGGAGGAGGGGAAGGAGGGGGCTGTCTCCCTGGCTGGCCGTCAGGGGCTCACCTGGCTTCAGGCCTCTCTCCTCCAGCACCGACAACCACTTGGCCCCGGTTCCCAGGATGGTGATGCTGGGGGGCAGGAGAGAAAGGGGTCACCATGAGTGAGGGCTCGCCTCTGCTTGTGTGCCACCCCGGCTGACTGGGCGCTCGGTTCCCGGATTAAAGTCAGCCGAACGGGCGCGGTTCCCGGATGTAAACCCGGCCGAATGGGCGCGGTTCCCGGATGTAAACCCGGCCGAACGGGCGCGGTTCCCGGATGTAAACCCGGCCGAACGGGCGCGGTTCCCGGATGTAAACCCGGCCGAACGGGGCCTCAGCTCTGCTCTTAGCAGCCCTGGCCCAGCCCAGAGCGCAGGCAGCCACAGGCAGGGCAGAGGGCCCCGGCGCGCGGAGGAGAGGGCGCAGAGGGGGACGGACAGGGGGCGCAGGGGGACGGACAGGGGGCGCAGGGGGAGGGACAGGGGGCGCAGGGGGACGGACAGGGGGCGCAGGGGGAGGGACAGGGGGCGCAGGGGGACGGACAGGGGGCGCAGGGGGACGGACAGGGGGCGCAGGGGGAGGGACAGGGGGCGCAGGGGGGGAGGGACAGGGGGCGCAGGGGGACGGACAGGGGGCGCAGGGGGAGGGACAGGGGGCGCTCACCCCAGCCTGTCCACCAGGTCCCAGAGCACGGTGGGCGTGGGCACCAGCGGGGAGCCGTCGTACAGGACCAGCGCGGCGCCCGTGGCCAAGGCGGACACCATCCAGTTCCACATCATCCAGCCCACCTGCGGCGGCGGGCGCTCAGCGGGCGGCACCCTGGCCACACGCCCCCGCTCCCGGACACGGACAGGGCCGGTCTCACACCTGATCCCCAGCTGCACACACTTCTCACGGCTGCCGTAATGGCCAGACCCGGCCCAACACCCATTCATTCTCCGCCCCAGGCCCTGAAGGCCGACACCTGGGTGCAGGCTGCCCCCTGCTGGAGGCGCCCGGAAGCGCAGCGGCCGGGAGCGGAGTGGCCCGCCCCCCCACCCCCAGGGCCCGCCCCGCACCCCCAGGGCCCGCTCCCCCACCCCCAGGGCCCCTGCCCGCCCGCGCACCGTGGTGTAGTAGAGGAGGATGTCGCTGCTGCCCATGTCGCCGTGGAGCATGTGCTCCTTCAGGTGCTGGATGAGGGTGCCCTGCGGGGAGACCGTGTGAGCGGGCGGGGGCGGGGGCACCGGGGGCGGGGGCACCGGGGGCGGGGGCACCGGGGGCGGGGGCACTGGGAGCGGGGAGCACCGGAGACGGGGGCACCGGAGGCGGGGGCACGGGGGGGCGGGGAGCACCGGGGACGGGAGCACAGGGGGCGGGAGCACCGGGGACGGGGCACCGGGGGCGGGGGCACCGGGGGAAAGCACGGGGGAGGGGAGCACCAGGGACGGGGGCACTGGGGTGGGAGCACCGGGGGCGGGGGTACCGGGGGCGGGGGCACGGGAGGGAGCACTGGGGCGGGAGCACACTGTGGGGAGGCCGTGCCGCGGGGACACCCACCCCGGCCGAGTGCACCATGCACTTGGGCGCGCCGGTGGTGCCGGAGGAGAACATGATGAACAGCGGGTGGCTGAAGGGCAGCTGCTCGAACTCCAGCTGCGGCGCCTGGTCCCCCCGCCCGGCCGCCAGGAAGTCCTCCAGGAACTCGCTGCGGGACCGGAGCCCTCAGTGCGGCCTCGCTCCCTGCCCCCCTCCATCCAGCCTGCCTTCCCAGGGGGCGTGGGGGGCGGGGAGAGGGGCCGGGGAGCCGGGCGCAGGGGGCATTTCCGCTGTTTAGCTCAATGGGTGAGCGTGACCTACGACCCAGGAGGTCAGGGCACAGGCCCGGGTCGCGGGCTCCATCCCCAGCAGCGGGCGTGCAGGAGGCAGCCGGTCCCAGGCTCTCTCTCCTCTTTTTGATGTCTCTCTCCCTTTCCCTTCCTCTCTGAAATCAATAAAAATATCTTAAATAACAACAACAATGATAACGATAATAAAGGGCTTCAACAACTCCCACACGCACCCCGAGCCACGGCCCCTCCGTCCCCGCTCCCGGCTCCGCCCTCTCCCCCGGGGTCCGCCGCCTCACCTGTGGGGGACCTGGGAGATGTCCACCGCCTCCCGGGGCGCCACGTAAGGGATCACCACCACCTTCTGCAGGTCCGGCAGCCCTGCGGGGCAGAGAGGACAGGCGTGGGCGGCAGCCCGGCGCGGCCCACAGGCTTTCTGAGTTTGATTATTTTTATTGGTTTCAGAGCGGCAGGGAGAGGCAGAGATACATCCGCGAGAGAATCATGGATCGGCTGCCTCCTGCGCGCCTAACCCTAACCCTAACCCGGGCCTGTGCCCCGACCAGGAATCGAACCGTGACCTCCTGGCTCCTCCAACGAGGCTCAATCCCTGAGCCCCCGCCGGGCCACAGGGAGTTGTGTGCGGCCAGCAGAGGCCTCGGTGAGTCCTTCGGCTCCTGTCTTTGTGCAGCCTGGCCCCGCCCCGCCCCAGGCCCCGCCCCAGGCCGCTCAGGCCCCGCCCCGCCCCAGGCCCCGCCCGGCCGCACCCTTCACCACCCGCTGCAGCTTGTCCAGGTGGCCGTGCGTCCGGCCGTTGTACACCACGGCCTCCACGGAGAAGAGGAGCTTGGGCTGGATCTGGGAGAACCGGTCCAGGACACCCTGCGGGGGAGGTGGTGGCGGTCACCCCGGAGCCCCCTCGGCAGCCCCTGGGCCCATGACCACGCCCCAGGCCCACCGGCTCCGGAAACGACCCAGTTTGACCCCGTGAACCCCGTGTCCCAGGCACTGCAGCCCCTGCCCGGCGGTCCCGGCACCCCACACGGCCTTCCCCGAGGCCTCCCCCCTCGGTGCTGAGGCGCCCAGGGTCCGGGCTGCACACAGCGGGCACTCAGGGGTCCAGGGGCCCTCCCTCCCCTGGGGACCCCGACTCACGTTCACCCCGAAGTCCGGGGATGTGGAGCTCCAGATGGCGCCGATGCTCGCAGCGGCCAGCATGGCCTCCACGGCGTGCTCCCCGTTGGGGAGGTAGCCTGCAGGGGGACAGGAGAGCCGGGGGTGTGGGGGGGGCGCCCTGCAGGGGGACAGGAGAGCCGGGGGTGTGGGGGGGGCGCCCTGCAGGGGGACAGGAGAGCCGGGGGTGTGGGGGGGGCGCCCTGCAGGGGGACAGGAGAGCTGGGGGTGGGGGGGGCGCCCTGCAGGGGGACAGGAGAGCCGGGGGTGTGGGGGGGGCGCCCTGCAGGGGGACAGGAGAGCCGGGGGTGGGCGCCCTGCAGGGGGCGGGGAGCGGGGGGGGGGGCGCCCTGCAGGGGGACAGGAGAGCCGGGGGTGGGCGCCCTGCAGGGGGCGGGGAGCGGGGGGGTGGGCGCCCTGCAGGGGGCGGGGAGCGGGGGGGGGGCTCCCTGCAGGGGCGGGGAGCCGGGGGGGGGGGGCGCCCTGCAGGGGGCGGGGAGCGGGGGGGGGGGCGCCCTGCAGGGGGCGGGGAGCCGGGGGTGTGGGGAGAAGCCGGGGGTGTGGGGGGCGCCCTGCAGGGGGCGGGGAGCCGGGGGCCAGGTCTCTGGGCAGAGACCCTGCAGATCGGATGCCGGGCAGGCCTCCCAGCCGGTCCTGCCTCGGACGGGCGGGCGGGCGGACAGCCCGGTCCTGATGGTGACAGGCGACAAGGCGCCGGCCCTCCGCCCTCGGCACGCACCCCGGTGCCCCGCCCCGCCCCGCCCGGAGGCACACCGGCCCTGCCCCTCGTCCGCCCAGACACTCACCCACCACGCGGTCCCCGCTCCGCACGCCCATCCTCCGCATGGCGGCCGCCAGCAGCGCCACCTGCTGCCGCAGCTCCTCGAAGGTCACCTTCGCCACCTCCTCGCGGCCCTCCCCTGCGGGAGAGAGGGCTCAGGGCCCGCAGCGCCCCAGGCAGCGCCCAGGAGCCGGGGCGCGGCTCCATCCCCGTCAGGCACAGGCCGGGTTGCGGGCTCCATCCCCGCTGGGGGGCGCGCAGGAGGCAGCTCTCACTGGTGTTTCTCTCTCTCTCCCTCTCCCTTCCCCTCTGACGTCAATAAAGATTTTTTTTAAAGGAAAAGTACTGGAGCCGGACAGGGTGCTGGTTTCACAGCCTGAGACTGTGCTGGCACCCACTGAGTCTACACCCCCGCGGGGTGACCTTCTAAAGGCTCAGGTGCTGGTCCCTGAGTGACATCCCCGGAAGGAGGGGGGGAGGGAGGGAGGACGGAGGAAGGAGGGAGGGAGGGAAGGAGGGAGGAGGGAGGGAGGGAGGGAGGAAGAGAGGGAAGGAGGGAGGGAAGAAGAGAGGAGGGAGGGAAGAGGGAGGGAGGGAGGGAGGGAAAGAAGGAGGAGAGAGGGAGGGAGGGAGGAAGGAGGGAGGGTGGAAGGAGGGGAGGAAGGAGGGGAGGAAAGAGGGAAGGAGGGAGGGAGGAGGGAGGAAGGAGGGAAGGAGGGAGGGAGGAAAGGGAGGAAGGAGGGAGGGAGGAGGGAATGAGGAGGAAGGAGGGAGGGTGGAAGGATGGGAGGAAGGATGGAAGGAAAGAGAGGAAGGAGGGAGGGAGGAAAGAGGGAAGGAGGGAGGAGGGAAGAGGCAGGAGGGAGGAGGGAGGAGCTGCTCCCGGACTCACGGGCCACGTAGAGGGCCACCTTGTCGCTGAGCCGGTGCCGCAGCAGGTTCTCGGCGTAGTTGAGCCGGCTGCCGGCGAACCACTCGGGGACGTCCGCCACCCCCTTGGAGGGGTCCACCACCTACAGGGGCGACGGGGAGGACAGGGAGCCGCCGGCACCTGAGGCCTGACCCGGCCGCAACCGAAGTGCCGCCTCCCGGGAGGGAGCCGCGTCCACCGGAAAGCTGTGCCGGCCGCGGGCTCGGGGCGGAGCCGGCCGGGAGCCGGGAGGTCAGGGCCCGGCCAGGGCGCGGGCTCCACCCCAACGAGGGGGGACGACACGGGAGGCAGCCATCAACAGGTCTCTCATCACCGATGCTTCTCTCTGCCTCTCTGAAGTCGAAAACAATATTTTTTTTAAGAGAAAGCGAGAGAGAGAGGGAGAGAGAGAGAGAGAGAGAGAGAGAGAGAGAGAGAGAGAGGGAGAGAGAGAGAGAGAGAGAGATGGAGAGGGAGAGGGAGAGGGAGAGGGAGAGGGAGAGAGAGAGAGAGAGAGAGAGAGAGAGAGAGAGGGAGAGGGAGAGGGAGAGGGAGAGGGAGAGGGAGAGGGAGAGAGAGGAGCTAGAAATGGCGCTCCACCTGGGCAGACCCGTACGGAGGCCGTGGCCGGAACCCCTTACCTCCTCGTACATCCGCGAGGACACGATGCCGCTGAACTTCCAGAACTCGGCCCAGAAGTCCGCGTAGCACTCCACGGACCACTGGTACAGGTCGTGGTAACTGCCTGGACACCACGGACAGGGCTCAGGGTCAGACGGACCTCAGGAGTCTGAGCAGATCCCTGAGCAGCGGGCACCCTTGAGGAACCCCTGGGGGACCCCTGAGGAACCCCGGCACCTCTGGGCGTCCCGGGCCTCCAAGGAGGATGGCGGGGGGGGGGGGGGGGGGGGGATTGGGGAAATCATCACTTCCGGTGAAGCACACCCCACCCCCGTGGTCCCCAAAGGGCACAAAGCAGTGAGGAGGGACGCCTGTCTGAGCCGGCAGCACGCTGAGGACCCGGGACCCCGGAGCCACAAGGCCAGGGTCCAGTCCGGACCTGACCATTCCACCCAGGCAGTGCCTCAGTTTCCCCCTCTGTTAAAGGGAGGGGACAAACAGCGCCCTCTCTTCCCAGGGCACGGCCGAGACGGGGACAGGAAGTCAGCCTGCCCGGCGGGCCTCAGTGGTTGAGCATCAACCTACCAACCAGGAGGTCAAGGTTGGACTTAAGGTCCAGGTTCGATTCCGGTCAGGGCACAGGCCCAGGGTGCAGGCTTGATCCCAGTGGGGGGCGTGCAGGAGGCAGCCGATCCGTGATTCTCTCTCATCATGGATGCTTCCATCTCTCTCTCCCTTCCTCTCAGCCTGCACCTTCAACCCTCAGCAGAGATTCCGTGGGCCCTGGGGACGGGCACCCCGCCAGTCCTGGGGTGCAGTGAGGCACCAGGGGGCCGGCAGCTGGCACCCCGGAGCGTGGCTATTTTTGCACAAGCTCCCACCCCAGCTCCACTGGCACGATTTGAGAGCAGGGACGCGGCCCGCGCCGGCTGGCACCGCCCCCACTGCGGGCCCACAGCTGTGTGCCCAGAGAGGCACTGGGCACGGGCATTCCAAAGAGCTTGTACCCAAAGCAGGGCACTCCCTCCTGAGAGGGCGCCCGGTGGCATGTCTGGTGAGGCCCGGGGAAGGGCCTGGCCTAGCCCGCCACCCATGCCCGCTGCCCGGCTGCAGGCTGCGCCCGAGGGGCTGCCTGGCGGGCAGGGCATCCTCCGCCAGCTCTGCTGGGAGAAGCGGCAAGAACCCACCTACCGCCCAGCCCGTGTGGCTCAGCGGCTGAGCATCAACCTATGAACCAGGAGGTCAGGGTTCGATTCCCAGTCAGGGCACAGGCCCGGTGGGGGGCGTGCAGGAGGCAGCCCATCAGTGATTCTCTCTCCTTGTTGATGTTCCTATCTCTCTCTCCCTCTTCCTTCCTCCCATAAATCAATAAAAAGTGTGTTTTTTTTTTAAAGAAAAATACCCGCCATGCTCTGCAGGCCTGCACAGGGCTGGGTGCAGCTCCTGCAAGTTCACGGTCAGCAAGCAGCCAGGGGGAGCCTCTGGGCCGAGGAGTGACCAGTCAGACCTGCTTCCTGGCGGGCAATGAGCACCGAGCAGCACTGAGCACTGAGCGGGGGCACTGAGCACCTACAGACACTGAGCACCGAGCAGCACTGAGCACCGAGCAGGGGCACTGAGCACCTACAGACACTGAGCATCGAGCGGGGGCACTTAGCACCTACAGACACTGAGCACCGAGCAGCACTGAGCACCGAGAGGCACTGAGCTCCAGCACTGAGCACAGAGCAGCACTGAGCACCGAGCAGGGTACTGAGCGCCCAAGGGCACAGCATGCAGGAAGCAGGGGGACCAGCCAGGGGTGGAGGGAGAGGTGCTCCGGGTGGAGGAGAGGTGTGGAGGTGGAGGGGGCCTGGGGTGGTGGCAGAGCCAGGGGGACCCCCGTCCAAGCCAGGTGACAGCTGATGCTGACTGAGGAGAGGGGTGCAGCCCGCCCAGGGGGGAGGGGGAGAAACCGTGAGGAGCTAAGACCCCAGAGGGGGGGAGGGGGGAGGTGAAGGGGGGAGAGGTCAGGGGGGAGAGGTCAGGGGGTGTGGGACAAGCCAGCAGGAGCTGCGGGGACAAAGGCCTCCTCCCTGCCCATCCTGCCAGGCGGCTCCGTGCAGCCGGTAAGGCAGGCTCCCACCGGACCCTCCTCCTGGCGCCCTGACAGTCCTCCTGGCCTCTGCAGGGTCAGCCCGGGGTGGGGTGGGGTGGGTAACAGGGGACTGAGGGCTGGCAAGCGACCCCACAAACAGAGGGAAGGGCTGCCAGGCGGAAAGGAAGCCTCAGGCTGCACCCCCACCCACAAGCAGGAACCTGGGGAGCGGGGGCCCCCTGTGGACTGAGGGGTCCCCAGGCCAGAGGGGGACCCTCCCCGGGAGGGGACGCCCCACACGCAGGGAGAGGCTGCGGGCAGGAGCCCAGCGCCCTGGACGGGAAACCGCACATCGGGGCCCTTCGGGTGATCAGGAGCGGCTCTGAGGGCCACGTCCGGGAAAGGGGGCGCCCCGGGCAGCGGGCCCCGGGCCGGGGTCCCCCGGGGGCCGGCGGCACTCACCCAGCGCCAGGCCGCAGGAGGCGCCCACGGCCGCCCGGAAGCGGTCCATCTGCGTGTTCCTCTTGCTGTCGGGCTCCCACATCAGCCGGCACCCCACGATCTCGTTGGACATGGCTGCGGGGGGCGCGGGGCGCGGGCCGGCGGGACGGCGCGAGCGGCTCGGCGGAGCGTGGACTGAGCCGGGCGCAGCCGGCCCCCACGCGGCCCGGCGCCCCGCCCCGAGCCCCGCCCACCGGCCCGCCCGAGGCCACGCCCCTCCGTGTAACCTTCCGCCGCGCGGCGCCCGCAAAGGAGTCCGGGGGGGGGGGGGGGGGGGCCGCCGGCGCCTCGGCCCGGGCTCCCCGCGCTCACCTGGGGCGCAGGCGGTTCTAGCAGCCCAGGGAGCCAGGAGCCGGTGGTTGTCAGCGGTTCAGTCATTCACCCTTTTTTTTTTCCCTTTTTTAAAAAATATATATTTTTATTGATGTCAGAGAGGAAGGGAGAGGGAGAGAGAGAGAGAGAGGAACATCCATGATGAGAGCGAATCATGGACCGGCTGCCTCCTGCACGCCCCCCACTGGGGATGGAGCCTGCAACCTGGGCCTGTGCCCTTGACCCGGAATCCAACCGTGACCTCCTGGTTCCTATGTCAACATGTCAACTCTCAACTCCTTAGCCACCTGGTTGGGGTCTGGTCTTTTATTTTTGTAAGATTCATATGACATCCTGTATTGTCTCCATTTCATTATTTGTGGGGTTTTTTTAAAATATTTTTTGCATTTTTTTATATTATATGTGTACACACCTTACCAATCCCCCCTTAAATATCTTATTGCTTTTTTTTTTTCTTTTACCGAGAGGAAGGGCGACAAATAGAGCATTGGAAACATCGATAAGAGAGAAACATTGATCAGCTGCCTCCTGCACACCCCCTACTGGGATGTGCCCTCAACCAAGGTACCGGAATCGAACCTGGGACCCTGAGTCCGCAGGCTGATGCCCTATCCACTGAGCCACACCGGTTAGGGCTGGCCTTTTTTTTTTTTTTTTTTTTTTTTTTTTTTTTTTTTTTAATGAGCTGCTAACTAAGTCGGATGAGGCACGGCTGTCCTTGGAATGAAGAGGCCGTGGGGTGATTCAACAAAATACCTTCTTCTTCATCTTAGTGACTCGTGCACAGCGAATGGGGAAGAAGCTGCATTTTTTTTTTTTTAACGTATTCTTTGATGTCCCTTCGTGTGTCTGGGGAAGCTTACGAGTATGGGAGACACTGCGTTTTCCGATGAAAGAATTGGTGCCAGGAGCCGAAACCGGTGTGGCCCAGTGGGTAGAGCATTGGCCTGCCGACTGAAGGCTCCCGGGTTTGATTCTGGGCAAGGGATCGATGTTTCTCTCTCATTGATGTTTCTAGCTATCTATCCCTCCCCCTTTCTCTCTGTTAAAAAAAGATCAATAAAAATATATTTTAAAAAAAATAAAGAATCGGTGCCAGTCCAGTAAGGTCACTGCCTCCGCGGCCCACAATCAGAGCATGGCCATCGGGCCAGGCCGGAGCCTGAGGCCGGCTGTCAGAGCCAGAGGAGGAGGAGGAGTGGGGGCCGTTCTCGCAGACGTTGGGGCTGGCTCTGTGCCTCCAGAGCCGGGTGTGTCCACAGAAGCCTGTGCATTGACGCTCGCACCCATTTCCAATCTTGGAAATCCTTTCACTAACCCCGCCCCAGGGATCAGCAGGACCCCATTTAGAGACCCCATTTAGAGACCCACTCGCCTGAGCCAATCACAGCGCCCCTTTTCCTCCCCAGCGCACGATTGGCCCGCGGGACCGAACTCTAGCCAATGAGACCAAAGGGGAGTGTAATAGGGCGGGGCCCTGGGATGGGGGTCCTATGACAGACACTTTGGAGAAAACCCACAAACAGAGAACCCAGGGCAGAGGGGGGAGCGGGGTGGGGGAGAGGGTGGGGGAGAGGGTGGGGGAGAGGGTGGGGGAGCGGGGTGGGGGAGCGGGGTGGGGGAGCGGGGTGGGGGAGAGGGTGGGGGAGAGGGTCGGGGAGAGGGTGGGGGAGAGGGTAGGGAGAGGGTGGGGGAGAGGGTGGGGGAGAGGGTGGGGGGGCCCAGGCTTTCCCCTTGAGCTGCCCGCGCCCCGCCCGGGCTTCTGGCTGAATGGACAGCACCTGTCACCCTGGTGAGAGTCACGTGGTTGTGCTGGGGTCACAGCCTCTGCCCTAAGCGTCCCAACCGTTGCCAAAGGTCACTCACTTGCCTGCCCTCGCCCACCCCGCCCCCTCCCTCCCACGGGGGCTTCTCCTCCCTTCAGTAAGTCCACTGCCCACGGGGGATGGCGAGCCCACCTGATCCCAACATGGGAGTCTGTTAGTATAATAATAGCTGGGGAGGGGAGGGTCCCCAGGCGTCTCTACGGACCGTCTATGTAACTATTAATATTAAAGGTCTACCTCTCGCCCTCACCGGTGTGGCTCAGTGGATAGAGCGTCGGCCTGCGGACTGAAGGGTCCCAGGTTTGATTCCGGTCAAGGGCATATACCTTGGTTGCAGGCACATCCCCAGTAAAGAATGCGCAGGAGGTGGCTGATCAATGTTTCTCTCTCATCGATGTTTCTAGCTCTCTAACCCTCTCCCTTCCTCTCTGTAAGAAATCAATAAAATATTTTTTAAAAAAATCTGTCTCTCCATCCCCCTTCTTATCGTCCCCACCTCTCCAACTACTCCAAGCCACCACATACCCCAAGGGAACTATTGCAAAATCCCCTAACACCCCAAAACCAACCCCCCTCAATCACCTTAGGGCAGCTAGAATGTTCCTTTCCTCATGGGAGTCAGTCACATCACTCCCTCACTCACAACTTCCCAACGGTTATTATTATTATTATTATTATTATTATATATTTTATTGATTCTTTACAGAGAGGTAGGGAGAGCGATAGAAACATCGATCAGCTGCCTCCCACACCACCCTCCCTGGGGATGTGCCTGCAACCAAGGTACATGCCCTTGACCGGAATCGAACCTGAAACCATTCAGTCCACAGGCCAACGCCCTATCCACTGAGCCAAACCGGTTAGGGCTCCAACGGATTTAACCACACTGTGCCTACAAGCCCAAGGTCCTGTGAGGCCGGCCCCGTCCGGCTGTGCCCAGTGTGCCTCAGGGCCTTGGCACCAGCTGGGCCACCTGTCCGGTTCTCCCTGCATACTGAGCCCCGGCCGGATGCCTCACTTCCTTGTAGGTGGGGAGCGTCATTTGTCATCAGTTCCCACGTCATGTCACCCCCACGACTGGTCTGCCCCCCTAACGCCCCCACGGCCAGCCAACACCCTGTTACCATCCCCCCGCCCTGCCCAGGCCACCTGCCCGCCTGCTTCCTTGCCAGGCGAGACCAGATCGCCCCATTACGAACGTGTTTGCTTTTTGTCTCCCGCCTGCGCCTGGGACAGCGAGAAGCTCCCAGCTGGTGTTGGCACGGGGCAGGCACACTGACCGTCTGTCACCCTGAATGCCTCTCTGTGCCGGCAGGCTCCATGCCTCCCATCTTCTCCCAGCCCCTACCCCACCCCACCCCCAGGTCTTCCCTGCCCCTTGGCCGTGTCCACGGGCGGGCGTGTAAGCACACAAGGCCTTCCGTTTGCCTCTTCTCGTTCCCCAGCCCCACAGGGAAGGTATGGCCGCCTGTTCCCTGTGTTCATCAGATCCCACACAGAAGTGAGGTCACGTCTTTCTCCGTTTGGCCTATTGCGCTCAACATGGTATCTTCCAGGCCCATCCGTGCTTCCCCAAATGGTAAGCGATCCCTCTTTCTTTTTCTTTTCTTTTTTTTTGAATTAATTACATGTGTACGTATCTTCCCATTGCCCCCCGCCCCGCTCCCATACATGCCCTCCCCCTCCCCCCAGAGTTTTGCGTCCATTGGTTATGCTTATATGCATGCACACACGTCCTGCGGTTGATCTCTTATCCCCCCCACCTCTCCCTAACCTGATCCCTCTTTTTATTATTATTATTATTATTATTAGTATTAATTTATTATTTATTATTATTCTTTTGGATGCCAAGCCAGAGTTTCCATTTGCTTAGAAGCAGGCAGAGTCCGCTGTGATAACGCTGCCCCGCGCGGTTCGTTCCCCCTCCGCTGGGCCTCCCCAGACCCGCCCGGCCGGTCCCGCCCGCCCTGCCCGGCAGCGGGCCCCCGGCGGCGGCGGCGGAGGGATCCGCACGACGCGCACGCACCACTCTGAGCTCGCACGCCGATTGGCTGCCGGGGAGCTGGCCCCACATCAGCCCAGGCCGCCGCGCCAGGACCCGAGCGCCGGCCAATCGCAAGGCGTTCCGGCACATGGGGCCCGCGCCTCTCAGCCAATCCCGACGGAGAGCCTGAAAAGGGCGTGCCCAATGGGAGCCGAGCGGCGGGGCGGGGCCCCCTGCGCCCGGGAAGGCCGCGCGCTGTCACCTTGACAACCGGACGTGACTGCGGGGCGCCCCGGTTCCCCGCGCTTCCCCCCGCGGGGCCGGAGGAGGGGTGTGCGCCTGGGACGCGGTGACCCCAACATTTCTGCTCTCGGAGATGCACGGGGGGTGGGGGGCTCCTCGTATGGGAGGACCCCGAGCGCTTGGGGGCCCGGAGGGGACCCCCGCCCCCAAGCCAGAGAGAAGGAAGTGAACATCCGGGATCTCGGTTAGTGAGAGGGGACAGGGTTCAAGGGCCACAGAGCAGAGAAGCCGGAAGCTGCCCCTCACCAGACACCAAACACCCGCACCCTGATCCTGGCCTGCAGCCTCCAGCGCCGTCATAAACGAATGTTGGCTGTTTGCGCCCCAATCCATGGTATCCAGACTAACCAAAGGGGATATGCTAATTAGGCCGGGAGACCTTCCCGACGTCCTTCCGGACAGAAGCCGTGGGGGGGGGGGGGGGGGCAGGGTCCGGGGGATCAGGCCAGGAGGGGAGGGCAGTTGGGGGCCATCAGGCTGGCAGGGAGGGGACAGTTGGAGGCAATCAGGCCAGCAATGGGGGACAGTTGGAGGTGATCAGGCCACCAAGGGGGAGCAGTTGAGGGTGGGAAGGCTGGCAGAGGGGGCAGTTGGGGTCGAGCAGGCTAGCAGGCAGGGTGGTTAGGGGCAATCAGGCAGGCAGGCAGGTGAGTGGTTAGGATTTCGAGAGAGATGTCCCAGGTTGGAGAGGGGGCAGGCCGGGCTGAGGGACACCCCACCACACACCCCTTCTCCCCCTCCCCCCTCCCTGCACGAATTTCAGGCCGTGGGCCACTAGTTTCTGTATACAGCAGCCCACTCGGATCTTTTCAGATCCTTTCACCGACCCTAGGAGCACTTCCTTCTGGGGGTTACAGCTACCACTTAGCATTTTACCACAGCCCAGCCGGCTCCATGGATGGGCTCCCACCATGAGCCAGGAGGTCAGGGTGCCCTGCCCGGGTTGTGGGCTCCATCCCCAATAGGGCATGCAGGAGGCAGCTGATGGATGTTTCTCTCTCAATGTTTCTATCCCTCTCTCTTCCTCTCCCTCTAAATATCAACGGGGGAAAATATCCTCAGGTGAGAGGATTAACAAAAAAAAATTTTTTTTTAAAGAAATGGTATGTTTTTGTTTGTTTGTTTGTTTGTTTTTAAATATATTTTATTGATTTTTTTTACAGAAAGGAGAGGGATAGAGAGTTGGAAACATCGATGAGAGAGAATCATCTATCAGCTGCCTCTTGCACACCCCCTACTGGGGATGTGCCCACAACCCAGGTCCATGCCCTAGACCGGAATCGAACCCGGAGCCTTCAGTCCGCAGGCCGATGCTCTATCCATTGAGCCAAACCGGTTTTGGCTGGATTAACGAAAGTTAAAGTGTTAGTCGTTTACCTGAAATGCACTCTGAACCAGGCATCCTGTGTTCTCCCTGATGGCCCCGCCCCCAGAGAGCTCTCCCAGTGAACCCGGCCTGACCTCCTGGGACGCGGAACAGAATCACAGGCTCACCGGGAGGGAGGACGCAGACTCAGGAGGTCATACCACGGCCAGTTATTACAATAAGACATTTATTAAGCTGTCGTTTTCACAATAGTTTAATTCTGTGCTGAAACCAGCTTACAGAGATCTCTACACGACACCAAAGCCAGTTACTTTTCATCACAGGAATGTATCACTTTGCCAAAAAAAATACAAACAAGCCTTATTATACATTTAGGTCTATATGGATATTTGTAGAATCGACGTCCCAAGGCTCATGGCACTAAAACTGTGCACACACACACACACACACACACACGCACAGGCACACGCACACCCGCGCACACACACGACTATATTCAAGTCAGGTGATTGATAGTCAATGTCAAGTTAAATGCTCTATCAAATGTGCACAACGTACGGAATCGGGAATGCGCTGTGGACAATGGGCACCTCACCAACGGGGTTTCCAGTTACGACGAGAGAAACGGCTTAGCTGAACATGGAGGGAGCACGGATCACCGTCTCCATCGCAGGGAATCGATCGCCCGGCCCTGAGATGGAGCTCACACCTTTAAGTCTGCGAGACGATGTGGGAACATGGGGTCCCGGCTGACACGCGCTGCCCGATTTTCAGATGCAACTGACGACCCACCTTGCATGCCCCCACAAGGGCGGCGCTGGTCCCGCGTGGCTGCCACGCGGCAAGGGGTCACGGGAGAGCAGAACGTGGAAGGCGGCTCTCGGACCCGTCTGTCTGCGTGCCCGGGCGCAGGGCCTCACACGAGGGCCGCCTGACACCACGTGTACGGGGACTGCGTCAGATCCTGCCCAACCAGATACACACGGAGCGGCCAGATGAACACATAGTCATCTGGCTGCTCCGTGTCTGTCCTACAGAATGAAAGGCGACTATGCAAACGGTCCCCTCGGTCAGGAGTGCGACCAGCAGGCAGGCCGGCCAACTGCCCATGTCCCCTCCCCCTGGCCAGGCTGGCTGGACCCCACCCATGCACGCATTCATGCACCAGGCCCCTAAAATATATACTGAGCGGCCAGATTACTATGCGTTCAGAGGTAATAATCTGGCCACTCCGTGGAAATTCTGTTATTCACAAGCAAAAGTCCAACAACTCAAACGGCCTGGAACAGAAACTGAGCTGAACAGTGATCTCTTGTTAGAAAAATAAAGTTGGAGGGGAGGGAAATGGTCTCAGGAGTTTCTTCTTTTGTGTTTTTTTGTTTTATTTTAAATATATTTTTATTGATTTCAGAGGAGAAAGCGGGATAGAGAGAAGCAACAAGGATGACTCATTGATCGGCTGCCTCCTGCTGGGGAGGGAGCCGGCCACCCGTGCCCCCGGCCGGTACTCGAACCGGCGGCCTCTGGGCTCACAGGACCCGGACGCCGGGCGGCCACCCCGGGGCGTGTGGGACCAGAACCGGACGCGGGGAAGGCTCCCCCCACGCTTCGCTCGGAGCCTTCGGCACGAGGTCCCTGTCCACGTCGGTGCCCACACAGCTGCCACCACACACACCGGCCTTTTCGGTGCGTCTTTTCCTGGACTGTCCTCTGCCCTGGTCCTTCCCGCAGACGCGGGAAGGGAACGCGGACGGGACGCCCAGAGCGGGCCCTCGCTGACCGCGGTGGCTCGGCTCTCACCACGATGTTCACGTCTCAGGGCGCGTCCGCGACTCCCCGCCCCCAGCCCCCGGGAGACATAGAAAGGCTTCTCTTCAAGGCATGAGACACGGTACAAAAATACATTTCCCACGTACGAAAGGGAGGACGGAGACGGAGACGGAGACGGAGGCGGAGGCGGGGGGCCGCGGGGGCGGGAGGTCAAATACTCCACAGCGTCCATGGGATGCACAAAGGAGGACCCCCAGGCTCCCGGGCAAGAACAGGCCCCACAGCAGCCCGGTCTCTGCCCGGGGCGGGGCGCGCGCAGGAGGCAACCCCTCCGTGTGTCTCTCTGCCTCTCCCTCTCCACTCCCCCCCCCCCAAATCAACGGAGAAACACCCTCGGGTGAGGATTACAAGAGCCACGGACACGCCGAAAGCCCCCGAGCGCGCGTTCTCCCCACGAGGGCCCCACGACCTCTCTCCGCCCGGTCCCGGTGGTCTTCCTGTTCCTGTACAAAGCGTGGAGCCTCAGACCCCCAAGGACAGAAGCGGGAACACGCTCGCTGTTCTTCGGAGGCGGAGCTCCTCGTGAAGAGCATCCAGGGGCCCAGGAGAGGGCCCTCCGCCTCCAGCCGGACCGTCTGCATGCGGAGGCGCCGATGGGCCGAGGCGGCCGCCGTCCACCCAGACGCCGGCCCCGGCCGCGCTCCGGTCCCTTCTCCGAACCGAACCGCCGAGGGAGCGTCCTCCCCCCTCCAGGGGACGTGAGGAGCCGGGACCGGGATCGGCCTTATCTTACAAAACCGCCTCACAGAAGATGTCCTCTGAGCGCTGGGGGACCTTCAGGGGGGTTCTGGGAAATGCCTCGGTGCCAGGCAGCCGGGTGTCCAGCCTGCAACGGGGCCTTGGTTGCTCCAAGAGACGAGAAGGGCCCTGGCCGGCATGGCTCAGCGGATAGAGCGTCGGCCTGCGGACCCAAGGGTCCCGGGTTCGATTCCGGTCAAGGGCATGTATCCTGGGCTGCAGGCTCCTCCCCGGAGGGAGGGGAGGGAAGGGGAAATATCCAGAGATGCTCCACGGGACACACGTCTGTGACTGAACAGCCGGCAGGGCCTCTCCTCCCCCGCGGACTCCCTCCCCCTCCCCCCGGGCGGGCCCCCCTGAAAGGCTGCGCGGCCGAGACACCCTCGGAGCACCCGCCGGCTCTGGCACCTTTACTGGGGCAGTTTGGCGTTGGCCGGCCGCCGCCGCCGCCGCCTCTGCTGCCGGCGGAGCGCGGGCGCGGAGGGCACGGCGGGCGGCCGGGCGGCCGGGAGTCACTTGCCGCCGGCCGCGCCGTCCAGGCCCTCGAGCACGCGGTTGAGGCGGATGTTGAGCAGCCGCACCTGGGCGTCCAGCTGCTCCAGCTTCTCCTCCAGGCCGGGCCCGGGCGGGGGGCCGGGCGGGCTGCGCCAGCAGGGCCCCATGGGCCCCGTCATGAAGTAGGCGGCCACCACGAAGCAGAGCGGCAGGGCGGCGGCCTCGGGCTCGCCCTCGTGCTTGTGCAGGACGTACACGCAGGCCAGCGAGAAGAGCGCCACGCGCGCCGCCCAGAAGCAGCGGCCGAACAGCAGGTGCATGGCGGCCACCGCCAGGCCCAGCGCCAGCGACAGGAACCAGTAGGCCAGCATCAGCACGCCGATGAACACCACGGCGCGGGCGGGGCTGCCAGCCATGGCCGCCGGGCTCAGGTACTGCGACATGTTGGCGACTGCGGGCGGAGAGGGGACGGCGGCCGGTCACGGGCGGCGGGGGCGGCTCAGCCCAGCGGCCGGGCCCGGGACCCTTCCCGCCGAGCCCCGGGGGATCTGCCCGCCCTCCTGGACGGGCCTGCCACTGCCCCTCCGTCCTCCCTCCTCCTCTTTTCTGCTGCTCATCCTCATCCCCATCCCCATCCCCATCTCCATCCCCATCCCCATCCCCATCCCCATCCTCACCGGAGGATGTTTCCCATGGTCCTTAGGGAGAGCGGGAGGGAGAGGGAGAGAGAGAGAGGCGTGGACAGGACAGAAACATCGACAGGACAGACACACATGGAGGGGTCGCCTCCCGCACACGCCCCGACCGGGGCTGAGCCGGGGAGGAGCCTGCAGCCCAGGATGCATGCCCTCGACCAAAATCGAACCCGGGACCCTTGGGTCCGCAGGCCGACGCTCTGTCCACTGAGCCACACCAGCCAGGGCCCTTCTCATCTCTTGCAGCAACCAAGGCCCCGTTGCAGGCTGGACACCCGGCTGCCTGGGACCGAGGCATTTCCCAGAATCCCCCCTTACAGTGACGCGACCAAAGTGTTGGTCAGGGAAGCAGAAATGCTCTGTGGTCGCTTTGAGGCTGTGTGTGTGTGTGTGTGTGTGTTTGTGTGTGTGTGTATATGTGTATTTGGGGGGGGGGGGATGTGGTGTGTGTGTGTGTGTTTGTGTGTGGTGTGTGTATGTGTATTTGTGTGTGTATGTGTGTGTATTTGTGTGTGGTGTATGTGTGTGTATTTGTGTGTGTGTGTGGTGTATGTGTGTTTGTGTGTGTTTGTGTGTGGTGTATGTGTGTGTATTTGTGTGTGTGGTGTGTGTGTGTGTATTTGTGTGTGTGTGTATATGCGTATTTGTGTGTGGGGGGATGTGGTGTGTGTGTGTGTGTGTTTGTGTGTGGTGTGTGTATGTGTATTTGTGTGTGTATGTGTGTGTATTTGTGTGTGTGTGTGGTGTGTGTGTGTGTATTTGTGTGGGTGTGGGTGTGGGTGTGTCTGTGGTGTGTGTGTTTGTGTGTGTGTGTGTGTGTGAGTGTGTTTTCTCCTAAAAGTACCTGGAAGGTGCCCTTTGCCTCCGGTCCCTCTGCCTGCCGGGAATTGGATGCGATAGTAGGACTGGGAGCCGGTGTCTCGGGCCATGAGGGGAGAGAAGTCACCGACTGGGGAGCACAAAGGACCCGGCGCTGCAGTCACCCGCCTGCCTCCGCCGCCTGCCCTGCCCCGTGAGACAGCACAGCGCCTCGCTGCAGCTGCTGCCGCGGGCTCCGACCCCAGCCAGCCTGCTGGGACGGCACCCACGGACGGCCCTCGTCTCCTGCGTGCGGCTCGGGAGACGGTCAGACAGGAAGGGGAGACGGGGTGAGGCCGGCCCGGCCCCCGGCACCGCTCACGCCGGCTCCCCTCGGCCGTGCTTGCTCCATCGCTCAGGCCACACACGGGGAACACGCACACGGCCTGCGCCAGCGTGCTTACGTGGCCCCACACCACATAGCTCACGGCATCACCATGGCACACGTGTGGGATCACCATGGCACACGTGTGGGGGGACGTGAGCGCCACAGTAAGCTCAGTTCACGTCTGCCATCTCAGAGGGATACAAAAAAGGAAAAAAATGTTTTTGCTTGTCCTAAGAACTCTTAGGATCTAGGTTTCTCTCTCTCTCTCTCTCTCTCTCTCTCTCTCTCTGTTTTTTTTAAATGTATTTTATGGATTTTTTTTTTTACAGAGAGGAAAGGAGAGGGATAGGGAGTCGGACACATCGAGAGAAAGAGAAACATCCACCAGCTGCCTCCAGTCACCCGGGGAGACCGGCCGGGACAGAGCGGGCAGAACGGCGCCACCTACCGTCCAGGCCGAGGACGTCCAGGATCTCGACCCACAGCTTCCACAGCACGTCCAGGAACACGTCCACGCTGTGCACGAACTTCTCGGTGAGCCTGGTCAGCACCTGCGGGGGCGGGGAGGGTGTGAGGGCCCGGCCGTAGCCGCCAGCCGGGCCCAGCGAGCTCACCGTGCGCCGTCAGCGGGAACAGAGCCGTGGTCACCACGGCCCCAGCGGCCCCGGGGACCGGCGAGCCGGGACCCTCTGTCCTGGGCCACGAACTGAGCAAAATGAGTGCCACCTCCCTTTGGCGCCCCCCGCAGGGCCCCACGCCCACCCTGGGCCGCCTGCCCTCCTCTGACCGACGGCCCGGAGCCCTCTGCTGGCCCTTGGCTGAGGGTCTGCTGTCCTCGGCCTGATGTCTCTTTTTTTTAGATAGATTTTATTGATTTTTTACAGAGAGGAAGGGAGAGGGAGAAGAGTTAGAAACATCGATGAGAGAGAAACATCAGTCAGCTGCCTCCTGCACACCCCGTACTGGGGATGTGCCTGCAACCAAGGTCCATGTCCTTGACCAGAATCGAACCTGGGACCCTTCAGTCCGCAGGCGGACGCTCTGTCCACTGAGCCACACCGATTAGGGCCAGATGTCTCTTCTTTATCAGTTTGTTGTTGTTAGTCTTCACCTGAGGACATTTTCCATGGACTTTTATAGAGAGTATGAGGGAGGGAAGGAGAGAGAAGAGAGAGAGAGAGAGAGAGAGAGAGAGAGATCAATCTGAGAGAGACACAGCCACTGGCTGCCTCCAAAAGGCACACCATCCAGGGCTGGGAGGGAACCTGCACCCCACGCCTTTGCCCCTGACAGGAATCGAACCCGGGACCCTTGGCGTGAGGGCTAGTGGGAGAGAGACAGAAGGATCCATGGGAGATGGATGAGCCGCCGCCCGCCCGCCCCACATGGGGGATCCAGCCTGAACCAGTGCCCTCGCTCCCGGTTCCTGGGTGGACGCTCGGCCACGGAGCCACGCCGGCCGGGCCGCTTCCTGGTTTTCGGTCTGTGACGCCCGCCCGAGGCCTCACCGATGCCCTGTGCCGGTCTGTGCCGCTCCGGCCAGCGCTCCCCGCACATGTGCGGGCTGGCCCAGGTGTGGCGGGTACATGCCCCCGGGGACTGGCTGGGCATTTGGAACCGGTGTGGCTCAGCGCTCGAGCATCGGCTATGAACCAAATGAGGGCAGCTGGTTTCCGGCCAAGGTGCATTCGAGGCAACCGACCGATGCGTCTCCCTCACACCCATGTTTCTCTCTCCCCCTCCACTTCCTCTCTCTCTCAAAGCAACAAAAACATATTTTTATGGATGGGAAGGAAAAATAAAAGAGAGAATTGATTAAAAAGAAGACACCCCCGCCCCCGCCAAAGGAACTGCGTACAGAGGGCCCAGCAGACACCCAGCTTTTCTGACTGTGCGTGGTCAGAGGTCAGCCCAGTGGTTAGCACGTGGGGTGTGCCGGAGAGATTGGCGGGTGTGTGTGTGTGTGTGTGTGTGTGTGTGAGAGGGAACTCACATGCTTACCCTGCAGGAAAGGGCCCCGGTGACAATTCAAGTACAAATTTAAAAACGCACAGACCAGACCCTTCGACTCAGCAATTCTATTTCTAACGATTTGCAGATGAATTTGTCTAAGCGCACACACCCCCCCAAAGAGAGAGAGAAAAAAACCAGCCACCTAGGAAGGCCTTCCTGGGGCCTTGCTTAAGGGGCAAAGACAGGAAACCGATAACGCGGCCGCCGTTAGGGGCGGGTGAAATGGTGGGACAGCCTTCACGTAATTTGCTCTCGGCACGGAGGTCCGAGCTCCAGATTTTGATGGAAAAATTAAAACAGCGTACGTACACAGTGCAAAACAGACCGAAAACCGACGAGGGAGGATCTCTACACCTATAAGGGAATGCAGGCTCTTTGAAAATAAAAGCAGCCCAGGCCGGTGTGGCTCAGTGGATGAAGCGTCAGCCTGCGGACCCAAGGGTCCCGGGTTCGATTCGGGTCAAGGGCACGTACCCCGGTTGCAGGCTCCTCCCTGGCCCAGGCCCTGTTTGGGGCGCGTGCAGGAGGCACCCCATCAGTGTGTCTCTTTCACATCGATGCTTCTCTCTGCCTCTCCCTCTCTCCCCCTCTCTCCCTGAAAACCAACGGAAAATGTCCCCAGCTGAGGAGAGAAAGAGAGAGGGAGAAGGTGCAGAACAGCTTACACAAGACCAACAGGACACAATGAGGGGTCTCTACACCTGTCAGTGCGGGTCCTTCCAGCCCAGCCCGGCAACGCTGCCCGTGCCCCGGCCGCCGGGTGCCCTGGCCGCCGGGTGCCCTGGCCGATAGGAACGCATCCATGACCCCCGGAGGGGAAGTCCGGCCCCTCAGTCGCCAGCTCTCTCGGCAGGACTGTCCCCATTGGACAGGACGAGGGGCTGAGCCACAGGCCCCCCATCTGGAAGCGGTGGAGCCCCAACTCCTGCGGGTCCGAACCCAGAGGGATGGAGGCTGTGCGCGGGGAGCCCCATCACCACGTGCTGGGCCCGTCCACTTCCTCCTCCTGGGGAGTCAGATGCGGGTGAACTTTCGCCCCAACGGGGGCCCGTCCCTCCCAGCTCCCTCCCAGGGCCCAGCGGGAGCGGGGCGCCTCTCTGGGCTCCTCCCGGGGGGCTGCGGCCCCTGAACCCCTAAAGGGCGGAACCCATCGCCCCCCGAGAGGCCCGCCCGAGGGTGGCAGCTGCCGGAGCGACAGGACGGCCGCATCGCTCCTTCCTTTTCTTGTAAAGTAAACGTTTTGGTGTTTTTAAAAGATAAATGTCTCCACATCAGTCAGGAGGGCCCAGGGGGAGGCAATGTGGGGTCCGGGGAGGGGGGCAGGGTGCCTGGCTCACAGAGGGGCCCATTCACACGCGGAGGGTGAGGGTGAGGCGCGGCCGCGTCAGCGCAGCCGGGAGGCCCGGCCCTGGCGCCAGGGGGCAAGGTCCGCTCCGAGGAGAAGCGGGGCGCCGAGGGGGAGCCCCGAGGCCCTGCCTCACCCGCGCAGCCAGGCCCGGCACCCCGATCCCGGCGCCCCCACCCCCGTCCCCGGCGCCCCCGGCCCCGGAGGCCGCCTCCGCACCCCCGTTCCCGGCGCCCCCGGCCCCGTCCCGGGCGTCCCCAGCCCCGATCCCGGTGCCCCCATCCCCGATCCCGGCGCCCCCATCCCCGATCCCGGCGCCCCCATCCCGATCCCGGCGCCCACACCCCCGATCCCGGCGCCCCGGGCCCCGGAGGCCGCCTCCGCACCCCCGTCCCTGGCGCCCCCATCCCCGATCCCGGCGCCCACACCCCCGATCCGGGCGCCCCCGGCCCCGGAGGCCGCCTCCGCACCCCCGTCCCCGGCGCCCCCGGCCCCGGAGGTCGCCTCCGCACCCCCGATCCCGGCGCCCCGGGCCCCGGAGGCCGCCTCCGCACCCCCGCCCCCGGCGCCCCGGGCCCCAGAGGCCGCACAGGGCCCGGGCGCAGGTGCGCGCGGCCGGCACGGGGGCCGCGGGCGGCGGCGCCCACCTTATGCGCGGCGCGCGCGTTGTCCTCGCCCAGCAGGCTGGCGGCGCTGGGCCAGAAGGGGCCGGCGGCGCGGCGGTAGCTGGTCTTCTCGGCGCCGCCGCGGCCCCGCGCCCCCTGCGCGCCCGCCGCCAGCAGCGCGAGCAGCAGCGGCAGCAGCAGCAGCCCGGCCCGGGCCCGGGGCCAGCCCGCGGCGCGCGCGCCCATCGCGGGGCCGGAGGTGCGGGGTCCGGGGAGGAGGACGGGCGGGAGGGCCGCGCCGGGGTCGCGGGGCCGGGGGGAGGGGCCGCGGAGGCGCCGGGGACCGCGCTGGGGAGCCGCGCGCGCCGGTGCCGCCAGTGCCGCCTGTGCCGCCGCCGCCGCCGCTGCGCCACCCGCCCGCCCCGCGGGCAGGCGCTCGGCCCCGCCCACCGATGGGCCCGCCACGTCCGGCCCCGCCCCGCGCATAGGCCCCGCCCATATCTAGCCCCGCCCCCTCCGACCTGGCGGGAGCGGGCGGCACAGGCTGGAGGTCGCCGCGTCTCCCCCCCCGCCCCCCAAGCACGCCCTGACCAGCTAGGGTTTGTCTTTTTTATTTTTTTTTTTTACTGATTATATATTTATTTCAGTACCAATAGTTTTGCGTTTTTTTCTCATTTTTTAATTAAAGTATTATATGTGTACTTTTTTAAAAATATAAATATATTTTAAAAATTATATTTTATTGATTTTTTACAGAGAGGAAGGGAGAGGGATAGAGTTAGAAACATCAATGAGAGAGAGTCATCGATCAGCTGCCTCCTGCACGCCCCCCACTGCGGAATGTGCCCGCAACCAAGGTACATGCCTTTGACCAGAATCGAACCCGGGACCCTTCAGTCCGCAGGCCGACGCTCTATCCACTGAGCCCAACCGGTTTCGGCTTTTTAAGTATATTTTTACTGATTTCCGAGAGGAAGAGAGAGATAGACACATCCATGATGAGAAATAGTCATGGACCAGCTGCCTCCTGCACGCCCCCAACGGGGGATGGAGCCCGCACCCCAGGCCTGTGCCCTGACCGGGAATCGAACATTAATAAATAAATAAATAAATAAATAATAACTTTACCTTTTCTAAATGTCTAAAATGACTCCTAGCCAAAGCTGTTTTGGCTCAGTGGGTAGAGCGTCGGTTTGCGGATTGAAAGGTCGCAGGTTCGATTCCAGTCAAGGGCTTGTACCTTGGTTGCATGCAGGACGCAGTTGATCGATGTTTCTCTCTCATTGATGTTTCTAACTTTCTATCCCTCTCCCTTCCTCTCTGTGAAAAATCAATAAAATATATTTTTAAAAATAAAATAACTCCTGGTGTCTTCGGCTTTTAATTTTTTAAAATATATTTTATTGATTTTTTACAGAGAGGAAGGGAGAGAGATAGAGAGTTAGAAACATCAATGAGAGAGAAACATCGATCAGCTGCCTCCTGCACACCCCCAACCGCGGGATGTGCCCGCAACCAATGCACATGCCCTTGACCGGAATCGAACCCGGGACCTTTCAGTCCGCAGGCCAATGCTCTACCACTGAGCCAAACCGGCTTCGGCTCGGCTTTTAATTTTAATGATATGATTTAAATGTTTGTCTTTCATGGCTTAACGCTTTTAACAGAAAAAAAAAAAAAAAAAAAAAAACGACGACACGATATTACCGTTCTTTTTGCAAGATAACTACAGGATTCAGAAACAGCATTATTTCCAAGGGATGGTTTAAACTGGACCTCCTCATCGGCCCCGCCAGGCTCCAGCCAGGCCCCGCCCGCCCTCTTAGCCCCGCCCCGGCCCCGCCCCTGGGCGGTTCGGTTAATCCCAGTTCTCGCGAGAACACAGCCCGGAAGTTTTCCGCCCGGAGCGGTAGCGCAGGAACCCACGTGGGCTGGGCTCGCGGGGTCCGCAGCCGGCGTCCGCGCCGGTCCGAGCGGGGTCGGGGCGCCATGGGGAAGCTGCGCCGGCGGTACAACGTCAAGGGGCGCCAGCAGGCGGCCCCCGGGCCCTCGAAGGGCCCCCCGGAGCCGCCGCCCGTGCTGCTGGAACTGGAGGGTAAGGCGCCGGGGGCTGGGTTTGGGGGGCAGGGCTCGGGCCTGGGGGTCAGGGCAGACAGATGGGAGCCGAAGGGCACTCCACCTGGGGGGTGAGGTGCAGGGAGGGGTCAAGGAGCTCCCCTCTAAGATGATCCAAAGAAGGGGCCCAGTGACAGTCTAAGTTTTTATGTGTTTTATTGACTTCAGAGAGGAAGGGAGAGGGAGAGAGAGATGGAAACATCAATGATGAGAATCATGGATCGGCTGCCCCCTGCACGCCCGGCCCCACCCCCCCCTGGGGTTCGAGCCTGCCACCCGGGCCGGGGCCCTGACCGGGAGTCGAACTGGTGACCTCCTGGCTCATTGGTCCACGCTCAACCCCTGAGCCCCACCGGCTGGGTGACAGTCTGACTTAAGTGGATTTGGGACAACACCTGGGTGGCTCTCCCCTAATGTCGCAGCGTAGGGGAACGTGGGCAAGAAAGTCAGTTCATTTCCGTTATATAGGCGCCTTGCCCCTGATCTGTATTCTGAGCCCAGACCCTGCGGCTCAGCTCCAGGCTGCTTGGCATTCCTTTTAGTAGAAGCGCCTACTAAGTGCCAGGACGCTGAAGAGGAGACAGAGAGAGAGAGAGAGAGAGAGAGAGAGAGAGAGAGAGAGAGAGGCTTAAGAAAAATAAAAAAAATCCCTGCCTTGGTGAGGTTAGCGGCTCCTGGGAGGAGACAGCAAAGACAAACAGGTAAAACATACAGAACGGGGGTGGACAGAGTCCTAAGGAGACAGAGCAGAGAGGTGATGGATAAGGTGGATGGGAAGGCTTGCTGAGAGAGAGAGAGCATTGAGTCAAGACCTGAAGATGGCCAGAATGGGTGAGTGGAGTGAAATTTAAAAATGGGAGCAGCCCTGGCTCAGTGGATAGAGCGTCGGTCTCTGGACTGAAGGGTCCCAGGTTTGATTCCGGTCAAGGGCATGTACATTGGTTGTGGGCGCATCCCCGGTGGGGGCTGTGCAGGAGGCAGCTGGTTGATGTTTCTCTCCCATGGATGTTTCTAGCTCTCTATCCCTCTCCCTTCCTCTGTAAAAAAATCAATAAAATATATTTTTTAAAAATTAAAAAAAAAATGGGGGCAGGGCCCCAGCCGGTGTGGGTCAGTGGTTGAGCATTGACCTATGAACCAGGAGGCCATAGTTTGATTCTCCGCTAGGACACATGTCTGGGTTGAGGGCTTGGACCCAGTGGGGGGCATGCAGGAGGCAGCTGATCAATGATTCTCTCTCATCATTGATGTTTCTCTCTTTTTCTCTTTCCTCTCAGAAATCAGTTAAAGATAGATTTAAAAAAAATAAAGCTTGGTGCCTCATAATATCAAAGAACAGCTTTGACCTCACAGACCCACTGGGAGCAGGCCCAGGCCCCAGGCCCCAGGGACACACTGCCCCCCACCCGTTTCCTCGCCCCCCACCCCACCCTGGGGTGGAGGCACCCTGGCCCTCAGCAGAGCAGGACCCGGGGCAGGTTCTGGGCGGATGAGTTGAGGGGACACAGGACCGCTGGGCCCGCACCCCGGTCCCGAGTGAGCGTTCGGGGGCTCACAGGCGGGGCTGGGGGTCCCCAGAGGAAACCAGCGTTAATGGGGAGCCCGGGTGCTGCCAGCAGCTGAACTGGTCCTGGGGCCGAGGATCACACAGACGCGTCGTTTCAGACCGGGACACACTGAAAGGCGTCGATGCCAGCAACGCCCTGGTGCTGCCCGCGAGGAGGAAGAGGAGGACGAAGGCCCCGCCGCCGCCCAAGGCGAAGCGGCCGCTGACCAAGAAGGAGCGGAAGGCGCTGCAGAGGGTCGTGGAGCAGAAGGAGAAGAAGAGCCAGGTGTGCCCGCGCCCGCCCGAGGGGTCTGAGCCCGGCCCTCCAGCCTGGAGAGAGACGGGGGCTGGGGGTCTCAGCCCCGGTCTCAGCCGGGTCTGGGGAGAGCCATGGGGAGGGTCACCTCCCTGGGCAGAGGCTATGACACCCCCGTGGCTGGCGGGCCCGTGGCTGGCGGGCCCGTGGCGGGCGGCCCCGTGGCGGGCGGCCCCGTGGCTGACACGCGTGTCCGCCCGCAGCGCGCCCAGATGCTGCAGAAGCTGAGCGAGGTGCAGGTGCCGGAGGAGGAGCTGCGGCTCTACTTCACCACGTCCGGGCTGGGCACCGGGGACCGCCTGTACCGCGCCCGGGGGTGAGTCGCCGGCCTGCGGCAGCCCGCCCGCCCGTCTGCCCGGGTGGCGGGTTGCCGGGCGGCTGACCCCTGGCTCTCCCGCAGGAAGGCGGCCGAGGCCGCGGCCCCGGGCCCGGAGAGGGTCAGCAGCCTCAGCGGCGCCCACCGCAAGCGCCGGCTGCGCGAGTCCGAGTCTGAGTCCTCGGTGGAGCCGGAGCCGGAGCCGGAGCCGGAGCCGGACGAGGACCTGGACGCCGAGCCGGTGGAGGCGGGTCCCGGGATGGCGGCCCCGCCTCTGCCGCCTGCCCCTCCGGGGGCCGTGGAGGAGGGCTCGGAGCCCAGCGGCCCCCTGGCTCCCCCGGCCGCGGCCGCCGCCCTGCCCCGGCCCCCCGCCAAGCCCGCCGTCTTCGTCCCCGTGCACCGCTCCCCGGAGATGCAGGTTCGTGCCGGTGCCCGGTGAGGCCGCGGTGAGGCTCCCGGTGTTAACGGCGCCGGGGACGGCAGGCTGCCCGCTCCCTCCGGTGACGGCCGCCCTCCATCCGGGGCTGCCCTCGCAGTGTCTGTGGGAGCAGAGGCCCCGTCCCCCTGCCCCGCGGCCCCCGCTGACCTCTCCCCCCGCAGGAGGAGCGCCTGCGGCTCCCGATCCTGTCCGAGGAGCAGGCCATCATGGAGGCGGTGGCCGAGCACCCCATCGTCATCGTGTGCGGGGAGACGGGCAGCGGGAAGACCACGCAGGTGCCGCAGTTCCTCTACGAGGCCGGGTTCGCCAGGTGGGCGGGGCGTGGAGTCTGCGGAGCTCGGCCCCCGCCGGCCCCCGCCGGCCCCCGTGTGGCTCTCTGGGCCTCCGTCTCCCTGGCTGTGAGGAGGGGCTGCCGGCACGCCCTGACTCCGGTGAGCACTGAGGTCGCCCCGCTCTGTCCTCCTCCCCCAGCGATGGCGGCGTCATCGGCGTCACGGAGCCCCGCCGTGTGGCCGCCGTGGCCATGTCCCAGCGCGTGGCCAAGGAGATGAACCTGTCGTCACGGTGAGGGCGCCTCCGGGGGGCGGCGGGGGGAGGGGGGGCGGTCCCCTGGCCTGGCCCAGGGTCAG